AGATTGTAAAGCTGTGACAACAATGAAACCATGGTCATTTGAAAGCAGTTATCTCTCTGACTGACTATCGGGTTGATCAAGGTTTAAACCCCAGCAGAGTGGTAGTTTGTTCTGACCAGGCCACCCAATTGTTACAAACAAACAACCAGTGTCACTTTATGTAAATGACCGTTAACTTAAACAAAAGCTATGCCTTAAGACAACCTGATGTATCAGACAGCAAATATGACGATATGACTAAAACACTATGACTAAAGACTATCCACTGTATGACTAAAATTACTATGACTAAAGACTAGCCACTGTATGACTAAAGACTATCCACTGTATGACAAACACAACTATGACTAAAGACTATCCACTGTATGACTAAAATTACTATGACTAAAGACTATCCACTGTGTGACTAAAACACAACTATGACTAAAGACTATCCACTGTATTACTAAAATTACTATGACTAAATACTATCCACTGTATGACAAACACAACTATGACTAAAGACTATTAACTGTATGACTAAAACACAACTATGACTAAAGACTAACCACTGTATGACAAACACAACTATGACTAAATTCTATCCACTGTATGACTAAAATTACTATGACTAAAGACTATCCACTGTATGACTAAAACACACCTATGATTGAATACTATCTACTGTATAACAAACAACTATGACTAAAGACTATCCACTGTATGACTAAAACACACCTATGATTGAATACTATTTACTGTATAACAAACAACTATGACTAAAGACTATCCACTGTATGACTAAAACACAACTATGACTAAAGAATATCCACTGTATTACTAAAACACAACTATGACTAAAGAATATCCACTGTATGACTAAAACACAACTATGACTAAAGAATATCCACTGTATGACTAAAACACAACTATGACTAAAGAATATCCACTGTATGACTAAAACACAACTATGACTAAAGAATATCCACTGTATGACTAAAACACAACTATGACTAAAGAATATCCACTGTATGACTAAAACACAACTATGACTAAAGAATATTCACTGTATGACTAAAACACAACTATGACTAAAGAATATCCACTGTATGACTAAAACACAACTATGACTAAAGAATATCCACTGTATGACTAAAACACAACTATGACTAAAGAATATCCCCTGTATGACTAAAACACAACTATGACTAAAGAATATCCACTGTATGACTAAAACACAACTATGAGTGAAGACTATTCACCGAAGACTATCCATTGTCAAACTTCTATAGGACACTCACTGAGATAGGTAGGTAGGTAGTTGTACCCCACCAGGACACACACAAGCGATAAACACCCGTTGACACAGAGTGCCACCAGGCGGATGAGTATCACCCGTGGAGAGGTCCCAGAAACCCCTTTCAGTTGTTAGGCCGTATCTATGCCTCTGCTATATTTAGGGCCCCCGGCAGAAGCCAGGGTGGGGTTTTAAATAAAAAATTGCATCCCACATGGGAACGACAACTGATAATAATCACACTGAGACAGCAGTTATCTACTGACCACTAACATCTAGCTTAGATCCTAGATCTACATTACAACATTTACATACTCAAGTTTTTTGCTTTTTGAATTTTTAAAAAAAGCAACAAGACAACAACAACAAATAAGAAATAAGTACATTTAAGACTGAAACAAAATGGTGGTACACCCGTGAGGATGAAGGGTGTCCCTTTGTTGAGACATGTTTGTTTAATATGAGATTCCAAGTGGAACAAAGACCCTTAACGGTGTGATGGAGTATGTGCACAACTGTTCTATTTACTACAAGATACTGATGTATATGCTGAAGGGGAATCTGAGCACCTATGGATGTGTCTGAGTGCCGTGAAAATAATCCAACACACAAATTCATATGTTATGCTTTAGTAAGCAAAGACCACCAAAATGCATGGTTTCAGCCTGAAAAAATGCGAGCTGCAACGTGTTAAGTCTGTAGTTATGACAAGCTGACATGCTTTGTGTTGTCATTTCGTTCCAGTACCCGTTAAGTTGGTGTGAGCACATTAGGTCATTCACAAACGGCACACCCACTATTTATTTTATGTGTGACCTTCTTTTCAACCATGAGGAAAAGACCCAGTGGCTTAACTTTCTGTCCTGGTAAGTTAGCTAAACCAATCCTATGTACCACTGAAACACATCAATTATGCCTGAAGTTGTTATTTTGAAAGTCTTGAATATTACCAAGGTCTAATAGCACTTTCAGTTTTAGAAAACATGCTCCTGAAGATATCAACTGGCTTGACCTCAGGCCTCATGGATCACTCTAATCAACTGGCTTGACCTGAGGCCTCATGGATGACTCTAATCAACTGGCCTGACCTCAGGGATCACTCTAATCAACTGGCTTGACCTGAGACCTCATGGATCACTCTAATCAACTGGCTTGACCTGAGACCTCATGGATCACTCTAATAAACTGGCTTGACCTGAGGCCTCATGGATCACTCTAATCAACTGGCTTGACCTGAGACCTCATGGATCACTCTAATCAACTGGCTTGACCTGAGACCTCATGGATCACTCTAATCAACTGGCTTGACCTGAGGCCTCATGGATCACTCTAATCAACTGGCTTGACCTGAGACCTCATGGATCACTCTAATCAACTGGCTTGACCTGAGACCTCATGGATCACTCTAATCAACTGGCTTGACCTGAGACCTCATGGATCACTCTAATCAACTGGCTTGACCTGAGGCCTCATGGATCACTCTAATCAACTGGCTTGACCTGAGACCTCATGGATCACTCTAATCAACTGGCTTGACCTGAGACCTCATGGATCACTCTAATCAACTGGCTTGACCTGAGGCCTCATGGATCACTCTAATCAACTGGCTTGACCTGAGGCCTCATGGATCACTCTAATCAACTGGCTTGACCTGAGGCCTCATGGATCACTCTAATCAACTGGCTTGACCTGAGGCCTCATGGATCACTCTAATCAACTGGCCTATCATGAGGCCTCATGGATCACTCTAATCAACTGGCTTGACCTGAGGCCTCATGGATCACTCTAATCAACTGGCGTGACCTGAGGCCTCATGGATCACTCTAATCAACTGGCTTGACCTGAGGCCTCATGGATCACTCTAATCAACTGGCGTGACCTGAGGCCTCATGGATCACTCTCAGTGTTATGTCAGCTGACAGGTGAATCAACATTATGCAATATCAATACAGAAACTGCACTCAGGTACATTGCTGCCTGCAATCGAATTTCTAGTGACTGCACCACACTGGTCTTGGCTGTTTCATTGTAATACTAAGGTTAGTTGCGTATCCTTTACAGGACGTTGCAGAACCAACCCCAGCAGCCCCTGCCTTTTGTGTGGTTTCTCTAGGCAAATTTATGTCCAGTAGTATGCCATTGCTTTCTGGACAATCGGCCCCCTGATACCACTGTCGAAACCAACGTAAAGCGCATGGCCCGCAGCTGGTATCGAACCCAGCACTATTGCATTACAAATTGTTTCCATCGACTTAGCCAAGGAGCCGACATTTTAATACTACTAAACTAATTTTATTAGTAGTTTGATTTCAGTCTCATTCTGGTGTCTTTAACTACTGCACTAACATTATTAGTAGTTTGATTTCAGTATCATTCTAGTGTCTTTAACTACTGCACTAACATTAACATTATTAGTAATTTGATTTCAGGCTAATTCTCGTGTCTTAAACTACTGAACTAACTTTTTAGTAGTTTCAATTCAGTTTCATTCTGGTGTCTTTAACTACTAAACTAACATTATTAGTAGTTTAATTTTAGTTTCATTCTAGTGTTTTAACTAATGAACTAACATTATTAGTTATTTTATTTCAGTATCATTCTGGTGTCTCTAACTAATGAACGTTTAATCAGTTTAAGTTCAGTTTTATTCTGGTATCCTCAACTAGTAAATTAACATTATTAGTTGTTTTATTTCAGTATGATTCTGGTGTCTTTAACTACTTAAATAACATAATTAGTTTGATTTCAGTCTCATTCTGGTATATTAGCTACTGCACTAACTTTATTAGTAGTTTGATTTTAGTATTATTCTGGTGTCTTTAACTACTAAACTAACTTTATTAGTAGCTTGATTTTAGTATCATTCTGGTGTCTTTAACTACTAAACTAACTTTATTAGTAGCTTGATTTTAGTATCATTCTGGTGTCTTTAACTACTGAACTAACTTTATTAATAGTTTGATCCAATGTGGTTCAGTCTCTCTTTGCAGAAAGGCTGATCATTCATGAAAGCATTGCATAAAGCATGAACACCACAGCTCCAGCAACAACCCTCAGGGATCTCTGAAACACAACTCATAAACCCAAGGACAGAGTCCAGGATCAAACTCAGGACCTCTAGACCAGGAGGAAAACAGCTTCACCACTTCACCAGAAAGATCCCTTAATAATAACTCTGGTGATACACAGAGACTATCATTATTACAGCAATCTAATTCTAGTGGCCTGCAGGTCAGCTGAGTTGAGCTGACAACCTTTCCCAAGTTATTACAGTAAAAGGAGGGGGGGGGGGGGGGGGGAATGTTCCCTGTGCCCTTATTTCGCCACCTTTTTAACAGTGGTGTGGGGTGGTGGGGTCTAGAGATTTTTTAAATTAGTTGCCTATCCTATACAGGACGTTGCAGAACCAACCCCAGCATTTTTGGCTGTGGTGGTTTACCTAGGCAAGTTCAAGTCCAGTAGTTTGCCATTGCTTTCTGGACAGTCAGCTTCTCAATACCACTGTCGAAACCAGCCCAAGGCCTGTAGCTGGGATCGAACCCAGCACCCCGGCATTACAAAGCGCATTCGTAACGCCTAAGCCACAGAGGCCGACTAGAGTCTAGAGATTACAGTAATCAAATGTTACAAAAGCACACTATTACAACAAATGTAACAACTGTAGATCAAGACAAGGGGAAACAAAGAAAACTAAGACTACAGTACTACGGAGACAATGACATAATCAATGGAAGCGATATTTCCTGGCTGGTTTGAGGTTGATGTACGAAGCTTTCATGTTCTCCTCCTCCTTCCCCTTGACCTCGGTGAACCGCTCGCCTTTCATGCTGACAACTTGGCCGTCTCGATATCGTACTAATTTCTTGGCTTCCTGAAAAAAAAAATCATTTAAATGCAAGAAGTCTATTTGAATCATTTAAATCCATGGCAAGTTACAATGAAAATGCAGAGATTTCTATGTGACTCATAGTAAAGCAGACATTTGCAGAACTGTTACGACATACATCCGTACAGTGAGTGCATCCTTACAAAGAAACACAAGGACTACAGAATGCCTAACATTAACAGAAAGTACACAAACTGTTTCGGAAATCACGGAGCAAGACACCTCTGCTGCCCGTATATCCAAGGATGTATGAAGTCAATAAAGATGGTAGTAGTCAACAACATGCCATACAACGTAGCAAGAAGGAAAAGAGAGGCAGTCGGTAGTATGTCAGCAACAGAAAGAAGACAACTCCAAGCAGAAATCAAGGAACTAAAGAAATACCTAAGCGAACTACATCCCACCAGAAGACAAGCACGGCAGACAAATGCACAGAAACTGAGCCTAGGGAGCAGCAGCAAAAGTCTCTGAACACTGAACAAAAGGCACTGGGACTCAGAAACCCAACGCAGCAGCACAAGTCTCAGGCTACAGAGACGGTGAATGCAGTGGATAAGGTCACTCCACCAATGACGTAGACAAGAAGATAGCAGAACTAAAAGAGCTGCAGGTATCGGTACAAAGAGACAAGAAACTGGAAAGAATTCGACAAGAGTGCAATGCACTGATGAAGAAAATTTACGACAAGCAACACGCCCTAGATGAAAAAGCTGAAAAAATCAGAGAGATTCGATTCAGCAGAACACACCAGTGACTCAGAATTAGAGGTAGAGGACAATGATAAAATAAGCCCAAGCAGACTAAGGTCCCCTACTGCATACTGCGGCAGCCCCAATAAAAAGCAGCCAAGCCAGACCCAAGACAACTCCTGTCAGCCACAGCCAATGGGAAACAAGCCAGAGGACAAGACGCAACAGAAGATGCTGGCGCAGTCCTCAGCAGGACTAAGCCCTTGTCAGAGCGGCACTAAAGAAAGCAACAAATAACAACCCTTAAGCAGCAGATGGAAGAGAAGCAGACACATGAGAGCTTGGCCAACATGAATAGCAAATTAGAAGAAAAAAACACCTGTTGGAAGACGAGACAAAGTAACCGCAACCTTAAGCAGATCAAAAAAGAAGAAATGTCAGCCTAATTATAACCAACAAACACAGGTTGAACAGGGTCAATTCACAGATAAAAATGTGAGTCGTTTGATCAGATGACAAGTTACGATGGAGATGTAAAGAATGTTGAATACTGAATTAGGAATCATCATCACAGCACTCTGGACACCCCCATAAGTACTCAGTCCCCATCTTCAGCATCAAGCTAAGAGTTACAATTCCAATGGCACCAGTACTGTCTGATTGTTTATCTATCTCGCCTTTCCCCTGAGTGTTGAGCACCGGCCAGATCCCCTTGTAACTCCTCGCAGCACCATTCTCCCCAGACCGTAATGATCTATCTGTGCCTCTTCACTGTTCCATCGCTCTCAAATAGCCCTCAAAGCATCCAGCTTGTCATACATCAGTTCACTACCAAGTGGTGCAGAACCAGCCAGTCTATCTACCTGCTCATTTCCCAACACACCGACATGATTTGGAGAAAATATCCAGAAGACGCTAACTACCCGGGACCTCTGAAGTGATGCTTGCCACTGCACAGATTGTACCAGTCTTCACCTTTCTCAACATGCTCTGTGAGTCAGTTACAATCACAGTATGTGAAGATTCCTATGAGAAAAATTTTACCAGATGACAAATTATGTTGGAAATCTAAAGATTTGTATGTGAATCACTAACTAGACCAGATGACAAATTATGATGGAAATGTAAATATTTATATGTGAATCATTTGATTGGATTACAAGTTATGATGGAAATGTAAATATTTGTATGTGAAACATTTGATCAGATGACAAGTTATGATGGAAATGTAAAGATTTGTATGTGAAACATTTGATCAGATGACAAGTTATGATGGAAATGTAAAGATTTATATGTGAATCATTTGATTGGATGCCAGGTTATGGTGGAAATGTAAAGATTTGTATGTGAAACATTTCATCAGATGACAAGTTATGATGGAAATGTAAAGACCCTATGTGAAACATTTGATCAGATGACAAGTTATGATGGAAATGTAAAGACCCTATGTGAAACATTTGATCAGATGACAAGTTATGATGGAAATGTAAAGACCCTATGTGAAACATTTGATCAGATGACAAGTTATACTGGAAACACTAATGCTGTTTTATTCTGAAGTTAACGCTCAGGAAACTATATAGGCTATTCCCCAGTGCTTGTCCACTATTTAGTGATTTATAGAGTCCTACTTTCCTATTCTGTGCTACTGACATATGGGCTAATCTTTTTTTTTTCAATCAGTCATGGATCTTCGCTTCGTAATGCCGGGTTCGATCCCAGCTGCAGGCCATGCGCCTTGCGTTGGTTTTGACAGTGGTATCAAGAAAGCCAACCGTCCAGAAAGCAATGGCAAACTACTGGACGTAAATTTGCCTAGGAAAACATCCTGTAAAGGATATGCAACTAACCATGGATCTTCAACACTTTCCTTCCATCACTCAGGTTGCCTACTCTTTTAAACTGCTGGTTTTCCACCTCTTGATGTTATTTTCCCACTTGTATTGCTATCTACATCTTGCTCATTTGTCATCAACTTTTCCCTCCAACATGGTTTTTATAAGAGTACTCATGTCTCTTTTATACGACTGAAATATTTAATTTTTCTACATTTCTGCCAACAACCTTCTTTTCATGCCCAGTCTCTCCGAAACCCTGACATTTAATTGCTTCTGTTTCCATATGATCCAACCTTCTCTTCTGTACATCCACAGCTCCAGCACTTCAATACAACTTTGTAATCACTTTTTTATTGTACAGATTTCTGCACCCCACATCTACTTACAGTAAGCCATTATGCTCAATGTTGTATTTACACCAGGCATGTCCAACTGAGGGACCCCTGAGGGCCAAATGGGTCATATTTATGTTGTCATGAGGGCCATGCATGACAACTAATGAAGTTATTCAACAGAAACTATGCTTGCAAAGGGCTGCACGACAACTAATAAAGTTATTCAACAGAAACTAAGCTTGCAAAGGGCCATACATGACAACTAATGAAGTTATTCAACAGAAACTATGCTTTCAAAGGGCCACACGACAACTAATGAAGTTATTCAACAGAAACTATGCTTGCAAAGGGCCATGCATGACAACTAATGAAGTTATTAAACAGAAACTATGCTTTCAAAGAGCCGCACGAGAACTAATGAAGTTATTTAACAGAAACTATGCTTGCAAAGGGCCATGCATGACAACTAATGAAGTTATTCAACAGAAACTACGCTTGCAAAGGGCCGCACGACAACTAATGAAGTTATTCAACAGAAACTATGCTTGCAAAAAGCTGCACGACAACTAATGAAGTTATTCAACAGAAACTATGCTTTCCAAGGGCCATGCGTGACAACTAATGAAGTTATTCAACAGAAACTATGCTTTCAAAGGGCTGCACGACAACTAATAAAGTTATTCAACAGAAATAAGCTTGCAAAGGGCCATGCATGACAACTAATGAAGTTATTCAACAGAAACTATGCTTGCAAAGGGCCATGCATGACAACTAATGAAGTTATTCAACAGAAACTATGCTTTCAAAGAGCCGCACGAGAACTAATGAAGTTATTCAACAGAAACTATGCTTGCAAAGGGCCATGCATGACAACTAATGAAGTTATTCAACAGAAACTATGCTTGCAAAGGGCCGCATGACAACTAATGAAGTTATTCAACAGAAACTATGCTTTCAAAGGGCCATGCATGACAACTAATGAAGTTATTCAACAGAAACTATGCTTGCAAAGGGCCGCACGAGAACTAATGAAGTTATTCAACAGAAACTATGCTTTAAAAAGGCTGCATGACAACTAATGAAGTTATTCAACAGAAACTACGCTTGCAAAGGGCCGCACGACAACTAATGAAGTTATTCAACAGAAACTATGCTTTCAAAGGGCTGCATGACAACTAATGAAGTTATTCAACAGAAACTATGCTTTCAAAGGGCTGCATGACAACTAATGAAGTTATTCAACAGAAACTATGCTTTCAAAAGGCTGCATGACAACTAATGAAGTTATTCAACAGAAACTATGCTTTCAAAGAGCCGCACGAGAACTAATGAAGTTATTCAACAGAATCTATGCTTGCAAAGGGCCATGCATGACAACTAATGAAGTTATTCAACAGAAACTATGCTTGCAAAGGGCCGCATGACAACTAATGAAGTTATTCAACAGAAACTATGCTTTCAAAGGGCCATGCATGACAACTAATGAAGTTATTCAACAGAAACTATGCTTGCAAAGGGCCGCACGACAACTAATGAAGTTATTCAACAAAAACTATGCTTTCAAAGGGCTGCATGACAACTAATGAAGTTATTCAACAGAAACTACGCTTGCAAAGGGCCGCACGACAACTAATGAAGTTATTCAACAGAAACTATGCTTTCAAAGGGCTGCATGACAACTAATGAAGTTATTTAACAGAAACTATGCTTTCAAAGGGCTGCATGACAACTAATGAAGTTATTCAACAGAAACTATGCTTTCAAAAGGCTACATGACAACTAATGAAGTTATTCAACAGAAACTATGCTTGCAAAGGGCTGCACGACAACTAATGAAGTTATTTAACAGAAACTATGCTTGCAAAGGGCCATGCACGACAACTAATGAAGTTATTCAACAGAAACTATGCTTGCAAAGGGCTGCACGACAACTAATGAAGTTATTTAACAGAAACTACGCTTGCAAAGGGCCACACTAAGTCCACGTGACGCATGTTTGACATGCCTGATTGACACCATTCAATGCCCTTCTTTTATCACAAAAATGGATGGCAAAAAAATAACTTCTAACCCCTTTAGGTGGTGGGGGGCGATAGGTTTTCTTGTCCTCTTCTGTATCGATGAAAGAGTACCTGAAAGCAGAGACAAGAGTTAACCACATTTAAAAAAACAAATTAATATAATATACACAAACTACATGTATGGAACAGGAGTGTTATCACAAGTTTAAGAAAATCTCAGTCAAGAAATTATAAAGATACAACACTTGCAGCTTTTCTGTTCTCATGAGCTGGTTAAATAATATCATCTGTCACCTTTTGTTGTTATCACAAGTTTCATATGATAGGTTGTTATTTTTTTTCATTCCTAGGCTGTAAACTCGGGCGGAAAGTTCTGGTTGTCCATCCATTTTTAGGCTCTGATCTCATTCCAAAGCTTGCAGTTTTCTGTGCACATCCATTTTACAGATCTGGTTGATTAGTATGCAGACTTTTGGCTCCCTGCCTCTCAAGCAGATGCTCTCTGACTTCAAATGAACCCCCCCCCCCCCCCCCCCCCCCCCAATTAGTCACCTGGTTTGACCTAACTGTTGGAGGCAGTGGGTCTATTCTTGTTTCCCATAGAATGGAGCCTTGGAACCAACCCGGGAATCTGATGGTTTTAATTCCTTCATTCACAAACACATGTTCATGCTGCTCTAAATTACAGGGCAAAATATGTTCCTAATTCCCATGACTAGCACCTGAGATATGACCTGCAGCACCTTGTGCCTACCTGCAACAGTCGGCAAATCAAGAATTTATCGCATCCACACCACTGGGGTGTCTCTGGTGCAACCCAGAATGACCCACATTGCTGCGCTATGTATGCGCTCTAGTTTGTCCATCTGGCTCTTTGAGACCTTAAGCATTCCCTACCATAATCAACCACTGACAGGATCAGGTGCTGATATAGTGTGAAAAGCATTCTCTGCTCTATGTCAATTGCAGCCATAGTCTTAAGTGCACTAAGTCCTTTTTGGCATCTTGTCACAACACTCTCCACATGGTCCTTAAAGGACAGGCTCCTGTCAAATGTAATTCCCAGATACTTCAGTTTGCTCTCTCTGTTGACGTTTCTACCATCTATCGTGAGACTTGGGACATTAGCTTTAACGATTCTGTTGTCCAGAGAACACCACAAAACAGACCCCTTTTCTGGGTGGACAACAGCCCTCATTTCTGTACACCACTTGGTCACTTTGTCTACTGTCACGTGTAGCTCCCAGGCTGTTTGTTCCCTCTCTTCTTCCTGTCTATATGCAAGTTTATCATCCGCAAAAGTCAGTATTCTTCTAACTCCTGGTGCTTCTAGTCTTGCAATCTTGCTCGTATGCATGTTCAGGGTTCAAAGCCAAATTTTCCAATCAATTTCAAGGCTTTTCAATGTCTTTTTTAAGGTCTCCTTAGTTTTTTTCAAGGTTGTCTCTGTGTAATACTGAAACAAGATTTTTGCCATGTTCAAGGGTGTACCGAGCACACAATGTACTTGAATCGTGCCACATGTGTTGGTATACCAGCACATATATCCTCATCATGTAGCATATCCTTTGTCCTGAAATAAAAATCGGTCTCTCACGAGCTCTCCCGTCTCATGTACTTTTTTTTTAACTCAAGGAGTCACTTATATCCTGTGCCCATCTTCGTGTTGGTCGGCCCCTGCGCTTGATATAGTGTTTGAAAATTTGTTAAAGACTTGGTGGTAGAGGGCAGTAAACTGAAGTCCTGTCTGTTCTGGACTTGGTACCTGAAAGGGTTAGGGGGAGAGAGAGAGTCATGCAGAGAGGGAGCAAGACACATGCTGAGGTAGGCTGGGAGAGACAGTGTAAAGATGGACAGATGAAGGTAGAGAAAAGAAGGAAAAGAAGTCTGGGGAAGGAGGAAAAAACGAGAGGGAGGGATGGAGACATAATGAGGGAAAGTGTGGAAGGGACAGCAAAAGACAGAGAGTTGGACAAATACAGAAAGAGGGAATGCAGATACAGAGATGGGCAGTTGGAGAGAGAAGGCAGAAGGGAACGAAACAGAGATTTGGAAGGAGGAAAATATGACAAAGAGAGTTGAAGGAAGGGAAACAGAGGGAGAGAGAACGGACAGGAAGAGAAGCAGATGCAAGCAGAGAGAATTGTAGACATAAAGGAGAGAGAGACAAAGGGACAGCATAGAGCGGCAAGCAGACAGAGGGAGAGAACCAAAGAAAGAGAAAAAAGGCAGAGCTGGAGAATGGAAGGGAGGTATACAAAGAGGAAGTGATGAAGGGAGGCAAACAGACATAAAGCAAGAGAGAGAGAGATGGGTAAGGAAGGCAGTGACAAACACAGATTAAGAGAGAGGGGCAGGAAGGGAGACAAGATACATCAAAGAAAAAAAAACAGCCTCGTGCTGAAACCCCACCTACTCCCCCCACACAATTTCAAGTGTAGTGGACACAACCACTAGGAAAAGATAGTTATGGGGCAAAAAACATATGTAGATGAACTATAAAAAAATGGGGGAGGGGGGGGGAGAGAGAGAGGGGAGAGGGTAAGGAAATCTATAGAAAATGAAAAAGTAGGATGGAGAGGAGACAAAGAAGAGATGAGATAGGAGGAAGAGCAAGAGAGAACAGAGCAAGGAAAGGAAGAGAGGAAGAATGGAGAGAGAAAGGAGAATAGTGGAAGATCAAAGAAAAGAGAAGGGGCGAGAGAAGAGAGGTAAGACCCGGTTGTGTGTGTGTGTGGGGGGGGGGGGGGTGGCGATAAGAACACTGAGCGCCAAAAATAGAATTAGGAAATCTCTAAGTGAGGCCACTTTTCCAGTTCCTACCCTCTCCCAATGCGAATGTGGCCGTGGTCCATAAACAACAGTGCTAACCCCTACTGCTCCTTGCTTCTCTTATCTGCCTGTGACAACAATAGTTCAATTTCTTACACTTAAGGCTGGTGACCTGAGAGCCAAGGTCATTTTATGAAGAAAAAAGTCCAGGGGATCCCAACTCACCACTGGTGGAAAATAGAGAAGTTTACCCACACACATAAATAGGTCAGGGCAGCAGTGGACTTCGTTTTATTTCTGGTTTTCCAATTACAGAAAGGAGAGGGGAGAGGAGGTGGTGGAAGGTGATGTAGAAGGCTGAGATGGTAAGGGTGAGACAGAGGAGGTGAGAAAGGTGAGAGAATAAAGTTTAAGAAAATAAAGTGGAGACTGAGACAGGGAGAGAAAGAAGGAAGTAAGAAATAAGATGAGATAGAGGGAAGAAGGTAGCAGGAAGGGGTGCACCCCCTCCCCTAGGTGTCATCAATGTGGGAGGAGAGGGGGGAGGGGGTGACGGCAAATGTGTTTTTAAAAGTACTCATATAAATTTTATGTGTGTGTGAGGGAGGGGGAGTGGTGGGCATGAAATGTTCTGCACTAGGCAACACATAACCTTCTACGCCAACTGAAGGTACGGAGAAAGAGAGAGAGGGAGGGGGGGGGGGGGGTGAGGGAGAGCAGAAAATACAAAGAGAAAGAGAGAGGAAAGCAGTGACACAGACAGGCAGAGAGTGAGGAACAGGTAGGACAAAATGTGAGGGGGCAGAAAGAGAGATGGACAGAGATTAAGGCCCGCTAAGAAAACAAACACATCAAAAGACAAAATCCACCATGTTCACGCTGAACGACACCCCCCCCCCCCTCCCCCACCATAATACAACTTTCTGTGTACTTGAGTTGCTAGGAAAAAAGTTATGAAGCGGGACATTTACTAAACATTTTGACAAGAAATAAAATATGAAAAGGGAGGGGGGGGGGGGGGAGGAGAGAGTAAAAGGACAGATATAGAGAGAAAGAGAAGAAGATGAAGATTAGAAGGGAGGGTTAGAGTCAATGCAGGAGACGGGAAGGAAGGAGCAATAGGTAAAAGAGTAAAAGAGGGAGGGAAGAGAGAGAGAAAGAGAGAGAGAGAGGGGTGAAACAACAGAAGAGGGAATCTCGGGGAATTACAATACTGATCGCCAAACACACTGTAAAGATAAAACTAGGCCAAAAATAGAACTGGGAAATCCAGCTGACGTCACTTTGCTTAACCACAATGCCGTCTCTAATTAATAGAGAAGGCCGTGCTTAGCCCCCACCACGGCCGACTATTTATAAATACAACTGAACCGAGCCCCACCATCTCCCAATGTAATCCTTTCAAGAAACCACGGCATAAAACGATTTATACTATTCATTCTGCTGGACTCGCTAGAAACAAAGACACACGCGAGACGACAGCTGCTCCTTCCCGCCTCATGCCACATCACTGCCGTCTGCATGTATTCATGAGCTGCAACACAGCCCGCCCTCCCCTGGCCTTTAACAAGCCATTTCAGCTGAAAATAGCCAATAATCAGCTGCGTTCACACCTGAAATGACCGTAAACGAAAGTAGCCAAAAACTAGCCAAATGGCCAAAAAAAGCCAAATGGCTCCCCAAAAATTGCCTAACTGCTGAAAATTGCAGGATTTGCTACAATTTCATTGCGGGCGGTCAAAATTCACGTCTTTTCAAGGTCAGAATGTCTTTGTTAAGCTTAAAATCACTGTTCCTTGTCCTAGAAAAAAATCACAGTCAATTCAAGTTTTCCTGGTCCACTACGAACCCTGCATGTTAAAGAGCACAGGCGAGATGGTGGATCCCTGTGGCAGTCCTGGAGCCAAACTGCATGGTTCTGAGGTCCATGAGCCCAGTCGAAGAGTAACCCGACATGAATATAGGACTGCTGCAATCCAATTCACCAGCCATGGAGAAAAGCACTGCAAGAAATGACTAGGGGATTTGGTCAAAGATCAGCTCTCAAGGAAAAGGTGAGACGGATATACAATCAGACTGCTATTAGTACCATGTGAATTAGAACTATTCACTTGCTGCTGAAAATGGGGATGGAATGCTTTTGAGAATGTCCCCAATGCTGTGATGTTGAGTCTTAATTAAACATTAAACATGTGCTGGGTATGTGAATTTCCTTTGTCTTCTGCTTTACATCTCTCAATGGAGCATAAGCACTCAGCAACTTACAAGCTCTTAGCAGGCATGCTTACTGACTGGATTTTGTAAGTGTTTTTAGATAAGTTATCCCCATGCCAACCCTTCTTAGAAGCCTCTTATGACATGACTGCTAAGTTACATGTTACTATAGTTTCCCTCATATGGACTTCCATAACATATGGGTTAACATGACTTGTATTGAGCATGCTAGTGGAGAACTAAGAACCTCAGGCCACCAACTGTGATAGTACCTACCATTACCGACCCTAAGCAAATGTTACAACATAAGTGATGGATCAAATGAGAAAAAAGAGCGAAGAGTGAGTGACGGTTGTGATAACAATCAAGTGAGAAATAAGGGACTAGTGAGTGACGGTTATAACAACTGAGTGAGAAAAAGAGAGAAGAGTGAGTGACAATTATGATAACAATTGAGTGAGAAAAACAGACAAGAGTGAGTGATGGTTATGACAACAATTGAGTGAGAAATACAGAGATGACTGAGTGATGGTTATGATAACAATCAAGTGAGAAATACAGAGAAGAGTGAGTGATGGTTATGATAACAAGTGAGTGAGAAATACAGAGATGACTGAGTGATGGTTATGATAACAAGTGAGTGAGAAATACAGAGACGACTGAGTGATGGTTATGACAACAATCGAGTGAGAAATACAGAGAAGAGTGAGTTACGGTTACGATAACAATCGAGTGAGAAATACAGAGACGACTGAGTGAGGGTTATGATAACAATCGAGTGAGAAAGCCTGTCAGGTGAGGGGTGCTAAGTCAAACCTTGGGTTAGAAGTTCACAATTCCCTTAGCTCTAGGACTGACATGTGATCAAGTTGTGAACAGCTGAGACAGTGAAATAATCCAGTACTGAAAGTACTTCACTTACATTTATTAACTCACCCATGATGACCTGTTTGTCTTTTGCAAAATATAAGATAATTTTCTTTAAACAAATTACTGGATAATAATTCAACCTTACACTTTCAGAAAATGTCAATATTCTTAAAGTACTCACTTCTCCACAACACAAGATTTAATGCTGGCATCATCTAACTTGTAGTCAACTGTTTTCTTCACCTTGTGATTCTTTTTCTGAAATAGAGCAATAACACATATAAATAAAATGTCCTCCTGTATTTCTGACACCCCTGTATAGCATATTTAGAGGGACTAAGGTTTCATATGGTCTCCTTGGCTTTTGAGCAGCTTCTGATATTGTTCACAGTGGAATCCACTTAAACAGTTTTCAGCAAATGCTGGGTCCCTGTACCAAACCTGAATTAGAGCTTGAATAAGTTTCTCCTCTGTCACAAAATCCCTTCCACAAAAGTTTTGTTTACAGACCACACATTCTCAACTGAGCTAAAATAGTTAATTGCTATGCAATATGTTCATCTCATTAGGACTGGCAACATTCTTCAACACTTTTTAAATGTGGCCCAGGGCCTGATCTTGTTGACATATGTCAAACCTGTCAAGCAATGTCTCTTGTTTCTAGAACAGTCTTCTTGTGAAAACTTTGGTACACTGACGTAAATGGATCATGTTCTGGAATGGATGCAAGCCACTGATGTCTTGATTTTAAAATGGCATGGATACTAAGCGATTATTTAGATTTATCTTTACTTTGCATTGCCTTATTATCTTTCCCCTATTCCTTCACTCTGTATTATTGCTTTAAACATTAACATGTAAGACAGTGTTGGTAGGCCTAAGGGGCTCTATCATAGAAAGTGATTTTAAAAAGAGCTCAGCAAGTCTCACTCAAAGTTGGGAACCATGTAGAGCAATGATCCTTGTTGTACATCACACATCAAATAGATGACAGCAATTCAATTATGAACACTCCAAATGATATATCCATCACTGACAATCAGACATTTCCTTGTGTAATCGGAATAGGAACTCTTTGTTCGCTGCTGAAGATGCGGACAGGGCAATTATGGGGTTTCCTGAGTGCTATGATGTCAATTCTTAATTCAACAACATATATCCATCAGTGACATAAGCTGCGGTGGAAGTTAAATGCACTGTATAACAACTATCATTAATGTCTCTGTTTCTTAGCTAGCAGTAAGCTCCATGACCTACGCATATCCACATTGTCAGGCCAGTTTGCCTTTATTTCTTTATTCATCCCCCTGTCTGTGTTTCTTGTTCGTTATATTACACAGTATCACAAACCAATATACATATCTACAAAAGCATTCAGGAATCCCTTTTGCACTATAACCTGTGATATTGTTAGAGACTCACATACAGTGGATGCATTCATGTTCACATTCTTTCTATTATCTACTTCTCCTTCTCTTTACTGCTCATTTTCACTTCCACCAGATCTCATCACTCTCTCAATTTGCCATCTTGACCAGTGTACCCACCTTACCCTTCTCCCCTCTCAGACGTGACAGTACCTTCCCAACCCTTAATGGCAGCGAATCTCATCTATCTCTGTCTTTATGAGCCTACATAAAACAACTCCTTTTTTTATTTCATACTTTTAAGACTCCATTTAAAACCAAATATTTAACCTCATTATGCTTGCTTATTTTCCTAGATTTTTAAAAGAATTCTAAAACATTAATGTTTTACTTCAGTGTCTGTTCCTTTTTTGTGTGTAATGTTATGCTTTGTTTCTTATTGTTTGCTGATGAGACCTTATCACAGGAACATCCTTTGTTTGTTTATTGTAATTTTAATTCTTTAAAGCTGATTTATACTTACACTGAATAATTTCAAACTGTTTACATTTTCACAGCTTTACCACAACTAAACTATGTCACTGATGCACACAACCCAGAAAACACTACAATTATTCCTGAGGAAAGTACTCTGATCACACAACCATTACTGTGTGTGACTTCCTGCCAAAATGGAGGAAAGGCTTGGCAGAATGTTCAGCTTCAGAGTTATTTGTGCTTTCATAAGCACTTTGCTAATGCAGTTTCCACATAAGGATGGTAGTCTACAGTTTTGCTGCCTGAGCTACTGAGTTTAGTGCTTTGTTGCAGCACTGTGAGCTGTGTTTTTCCTATGGAATGCCTTTTATTTGTGAAGCTGTTGTGTCATTTTATTCAATAAGGCCTGTGGCCGGTTTACGTGTGAACTGGTAAAATACCTTATGTAAGAATTCTATGTGTGTAGAGTAATCAACTTATCGTGCCCAACTACTTCCATCAACGACAAACTGCAATTCTGGTGTCATTTTGTTGGCTTTGGCGCTTTGAGCAACTGAAATATGTATTTACTGTGTGCACATATTTCTGGATTGTTCTGAATCTAGTTGTTTATTTACCAGTTTTTCATATGTGACAGTGAGGGACATTTCATTTGATTCGCACTGGCACAGGAACGAAGCAAATATGGGAAAACCCGAACTGCGGAAATGTTGAAACCTCGACTCACAAAACTAGCTAACCATGATTGTGTATACTCACCAAGGATTTAGCTTTTGCCTGAGATTTAATGGCCTGCCCTGTATCTTGTCTGTCCATGATCAGCTGAGCAGCGCGGTCCATGTTGCCAGCTGACAGCTGCAGGCAGTGTCGTGCTTCCATGGTGCACGCTGATGGAAACATGTCCAGCAGAACCCTCACTTGAGCTTCTTTAATGGTGACAGTGTCCGTCTGCTGCAGAAAAACACTCAATTATCAACCATCAATGATAACATTTGTATTTATACTTGTTTTACTATCTGTTAGCCATTGTTGCCATTTCTAAACATTGCTACAACTCCCTTATTTACTATTTATATTCCAATGTTCAGCCAGTTCTGTGGTATAGCTAAACTTCCTTGGCACTCATTACCATTTTTTCGTTTTAATAATTATTTCTGATCTTTACGATAACTGCCTTCATTACTGAGTTTTTTTTTTCTCAAAATTTTTTAAGTGGATGGGTTGGGGGAGGGAGGATTTTAAGCAACCTGTGAAATATCATCTCTGAGATATCAAGGAATATTTTAGCTTGTTTATTAATTGCCAGGATCCACTTCAGTTTCAAAAGAAACATCCCTAATTAGTCGCCAGTTACAACACGCTTGTTTGGGGGGGGGGGGGGGTTCTGTTCTTTGGCCCCAGAACCCACCTGGGGGTGTATTGTATATGATGTTCATCACACCAGAAATTGCTTTTATTTTTTTGTTTAGTGATATGAATTAATGAATTTCGGAGACAGGTCCAGCATCTAGCACTTGAACCTTGTGATGAACATGCTTCAGAAAACTGGTTGTCTTTGCTCTGATTGGATTGACAGCTCTCAGAAGTCGCACTTCTCCTCCCTCACCTGATTCGGTATATCCAGGAGTAAAAAGGTAATGAATAGGCAGGAAGAAGCATTCATCAGTGCTGTACAGAACAGACTGGTGGTTAATTATTAATCTCTAACTATGTGACCTGGGATAAAGCCAGGCAAAGCACACCTATGCCATTTTTAAGCTAAGACAGGAAACATTATAACAAACTTCACATTCAGGACCCCATTGTAAGAAAAATAAGAACAGACCCACTGTCTGCCCAAAAGCATGTTGTAATAGTCAACTAATTGGGAGCTTGCTTTGAAGTCAGAGTGTATCTGCCTGAGAAGCAAGGAACCAACAGTCTGCATACAAATGAGTCAGACCTATAAAATAGATGTGCACACAAGACTCAGATTCTGGAACACGGCCAGAGTCCAGAAGTGGATGAACAACCAGAACCTTCCGCCAGAGTTTATAGCCAGTGAATGCATAGAAGAAGAATAAGACATTGGAGGTATCTTAGGATGGCTGCTGCATCTGAGGACTACCACGGATGGGAATTCATAATGAGCAGTAATATCAATCATGACAGCATATCTGTGTCATTGTCAACATGTAGCAGGTCCTTGACCAGCTCTCATAACTCAGGTACTTTCCTGTCCAAGTTGTCTCTTATGTCCTGTCTCTCTTAACCATACAATGCCTGACATTATTGTTCTTTCCAAGCCCCAGCAAATTTTCATGCAGCCATAATATGTCATTTTCCAAGATATGATCTATTTACAAAAAAATGTTTCTTTATGTGTGGATCTTTAAGAATGTCAATACTTGGAACTTCTGTGTTTGGCTTAAATTTAATGACACTGCTTAGCATGAACTGTGTAGCACCAGCGACAATCCCCAGGGATCTCAGTAACATTGCACTTACTATGCGAACAATGCGGCCATGAAACGAACCCCCAACCTTCAGAGCATAAAGTAAACTGTTGACCACTTCACAATGGAGACCACTTTCTACAACTAGTCTCCATATCATTGTCTACAGTTCCTTCTCACTTGAATTCTATAAGCTAGCACTTTGGAAACCTTCACAATCAGGGGTTTATAATAAGTGTCTGACAACCTGTAGCAGGAAAAGTAACTCTTGACAAACCTTGGGGATTTCATCCTGACTGTCTTGTGAAGAGCAGCTGAGTTGCCTCCCTTTGCGCTTGGAACATGACTGCTGGTGATCAGTCTCAGGCAGAGTCAACACCGGAAGCACTGCTGGCGGTATATTTTTGGCGCGAGGTGAGGAAATGGACTCTAGTGATTGACAGTCACCGTTGCAACCAGTCTCTGAATGTGAGAGGAAGGGAAAACACTAAATTACAAAATGTTCGCTTCAGCACATATTAAATTCAACAATTGCAAATTATTATCTAACTTACAGAGCAAATCATTTTGTAACAAAAAACTGATCATTTTTAAATGACAGGTACAATAATGAAGCAATAAGAAATCCATACTTATAGAGAGAATAACACCAAAACTGGTCAAACAATTATCCTCAAACCTTAGACAACATTCGGTCAATTACTTTTAAGTGTCAACTAATTCAGTTTGTTTCAACACTGAAGCAGGAAATATGTAAAAAATATAGTTTTTACAGAAAAAAATGAAACCTCACAAAATTAGTTACTACCAAGGACTATTATCGTATCACTTCAGAGATCCCCTCTGATCTCCTCCTCAGTAGCTCCACAAGTGTAACATGACTGATCATATCTATTCTTCTACCTCTACAGTATTCCGAGTGCTTGAGGTTCACTTGTAAAGACAGCACCTGCCTCCATTCATTTCTGTCACTTGAGGTTCACTTGTAAAGACAGCACCTGCCTCCATTCACCTCTGTCACTTGAGGTTCACTTGTAAAGACAGCACCTGCCTCCATTCACCTCTGTCACTTGAGGTTCACTTGTAAAGACAGCACCTGCCTCCATTCACCTCTGTCACTTGAGGTTCACTTGTAAAGACAGCACCTGCCTCCATTTACCTCTGTCACTTGAGGTTCACTTGTGAAGACCACACCCACCTCCATTCATCTGTCACTTGAGGTTCACTTGTGAAGACAGCACCTGCCTCCATTCACCTCTGTCACTTGAGGTTCACTTGTGAAGACAGCACCTGCCTCCATTCACTTTTGTCACTTGAGGTTCACTTGTGAAGACCTCACCCACCTCCATTCACCTCTGTCACTTGAGGTTCACTTGTGAAGACAGTACCAGCTCCATTCACCTTTGTCACTTGAGGTTCACTTGTGAAGACAGCACCTGCCTCCATTCACCTTTGTCACTTGAGGTTCACTTGTGAAGACCGCACCTACCTCCATTCACCTGTCACTTGAGGTTCACTTGTGAAGACCGCACCCACCTCCATTCACCTCTGTCACTTGAGGTTCACTTGTGAAGACAGCACCTGCCTCCATTCACCTCTGTCACTTGCCTTTTCTTTCCAGTTGCTGACTCCAAGTGTTTTGTAGGTCTATATGTATATTATCTCTCCACTATCTTCTAACTTTGGATTTTTTCTCCAGACTATGCCGGCGTGATGGGTAATGAACAGGCAGACAGGCTGGCTGGATCTGTGCCACTGGGTGGTGAATTGATACATGACAAGGCAGATGTGGTCTAGACCTTTTGGGAACAAGCAACGGAATCGGTAGAGATAGAAGATTATTATGGCCTGGAGAGAATGAGGCATCTGGGTGTAACCAGAGGGTCTGGCCACCTCACTACACTCAGAGGAAAGGCAAGATAGACCTATAACCAGATTCTTACTGGTACCATCAATAATGGAACTCTGTGCTGGCCGCTGAAGATGAGGACGGAGCATAATGGGAATGCACTGAGTGCTGTGATGTCAGTTCTTGACTCAACTCAACTCAATTCCACTATCTTCTTGGTCTGCTCCAGGTCTACTGCCACTCAACTCTTTTATGTAGGCAATCTTCATCTGTTGTCTGCCACTCTCCCCAAGCACTGCAGTCTATCAGCCTTGACACCAGTAAAAAGTGGTGATTTCAACAGATCATCAACTGATAATACCTATTATGTGTTGATTAATAAAATGTTTTGTGCCCTTAGTGAAATGTTTTTGTCTGGCAGCTCCATGTTGCACCGCCATTCAAAACAATTGTGAAAACAAAAACATTCGCATAAATACACATACAACAAATAGAGGGTTACACTGATCTCTAAAAAAATACAACACAGAAAGCTGAACATAATCACAGTGATACTAGCAAATGTAAATTTATGGTTACAGTGTCCAGCTAGTTACAGAAGATACCCAAATATAATCTAGACGGAACAAACATTGAATGCACATCAAGCTTGACTATATATATATATATTTATTTTTAAATTTCAGCTGATATGATCCAACCAAACCAGGACCCCAGTTCCGGGTCACAATAAGTTTCATGACAAGGCATTAATGCTCAGGATCACTTAGTGTTCTTAATTATCCGTGACATACATTAACACTGAAACCTTTTAAATATGTCATATTTCAGTCCACCCGGCGTAATGCTGACCACATTACCCACAGAGTGCTGATGGTCTGTAAAAATATGGGACGCTCTGCCCATATGCCCGATGCGCCGAAAGGCGTGAAAAGGGATCTTTACTTTACTTATTACATATTTCAGTCCATGCTTTCCTTTTCTTCCTTTAGCCTTCACTTGTCTCTTATGTTATATTATGTAACGTTAACCCTTTGGCTCGGTATAATGGATATTGCAACCCTTCGGCCTTGATTTCATTATAAGTACCGTAGGTCTGGGAGAAATGTGGCTTTTCTGCCTACCCCAGGGCGTGAACCTGGACCACAAGGAGTTTGTCACCCGGTCACCACGAAGTCAGGTTTAACCAACTATGCTAGCAAGCCGGGCTACATTTAGAACTATACTAGAATATCATTATTAAAAATAAACTACTCTGAAATGCAACCCTCTTTGTTGCGTCTTACCGTATTTAGCCTGAGTTCCTGAGTGCCGCACCAGGCTCTCAAGGACTGAGACAGAACCATTCTTCAAAGAGCTGTCCCATACAAGTTTTCTGTCTACATAATCATAGGTTGGGAATTTTGTATCCTTCAGTGACAGATCAGTTTTACTGCTCACTTCAAGCAGAACTTCACTCTTATTTGTGACAAGTGATAGTTTATCTCCATTCCATGGTGATTCTGTTTAAAGGGGAAGATGGGCTTGTAACAATCTACCACAAATCAGTGACTACTTAGTTTCATGCAGACTAAAATCCCTACTGAATAATGACTGAACTATAATACAATATTGTTACAAATAATAAACGACAGGTCATGCACTCAGGATTTAAAAAAAACATTTAAAATATTTTCTAATATTGAAAGCAAGGGGAGAGAAAAGGTGGCACTTGTATGCTGTGCTTATGTGAATAATGCAGTTGTCTTTCTCTTTCCCTTTCTGTACAGTTGTTTCTAATGCAAACATGATGTTTCTTTCTTGTTTCCCTCTCTGTACAGTTGTTTCTAATGCAAACATGATGTTTCTTTCTTTTGTCCCTCTCTGTACAGTTGTTTGTAATGCAAACATGATGTTTCTTTCTTTTGTCCCTCTCTGTACAGTTGTTTGTAATGCAAACATGATGTTTCTTTCTTGTTTCCCTCTCTGTACAGTTGTTTGTAATGCAAACATGATGTTTCTTTCTTTTTTCCCTCTCTGTACAGTTGTTTGTAATGCAAACATGATGTTTCTTTCTTGTTTCCCTCTCTGTACAGTTGTTTGTAATGCAAACATGATGTTTCTTTCTTGTTTCCCTCTCTGTACAGTTGTTTGTATTGCAAACATGATGTTTCTTTCTTGTTTCCCTCTCTGTACAGTTGTTTGTAATGCAAACATGATGTTTCTTTCTTTTGTCCCTCTCTGTACATTTGTTTGTAATGCAAACATGATGTTTCTTTCTTTTGTCCCTCTCTGTACAGTTGTTTTTAATGCAAACATGATGTTTCTTCCTTTTGTCCCTCTCTGTACAGTTGTTTGTAATGCAAACATGTCTCTGTTTAGCCCTCCCCCACTTTTCCACAATTGCTTTCAATGAAAATACATAGGCGTCTAACACTTTAACTTATCCTCCATCTGCAGGCATGTCTCGCTCTCATTTCTCCCTTTCTCTTCAGTTAGATCTAATAAAAAAAAGCATTTTGTTCTCCTGCAAGCCCAATTATTACCCTTTTAAAAATTAGGTTTGTTCATTCATTTGCTCTCTCTCTCTCTCTCTCTCTCTCTCTCTCTCTCTCTCTCTCTCTCTCTCTCTCTCTCTCTCTCTCTCTCTCCCTCCCTCTCTCGTTCTTTGTCTAAAACTTGTCTCCTTACTTTGCTCAGATTGTCAATATGATTTGATGAAATTGTGGATGTGAATGGTTTCTTCTGATGCAGGTAACCTATTCTCTGTGCAAGTTGATTTCTTTCAAAACATTTTAATTACATTTTCAACTATGATATTCTCATCACTCTTCTATAAAACCACCCTCTGCAGTTTCACATCATTTCTGACACTTGTGCGGAGGACAGCCCATCAGGACTGGCTCTATACACTCCATATGAACTCTCAATCTCACCTCTACTGACAAGATATTGTTTACAATATGCCTCATTCTGTGAAATCCTGTTTTTGCTTGGGCTATTTTACATGTCACCACTGGTATAAAGCAGCTCTTTTATTATGTAACAGTTATTTTTGCTGGTGTTGTAAAGTATATTGATTGCCCAATTTTATACAAGTTTCTCATTAAGAGCATCTCAAATGGTGCATCCAATTTGTATCTTTGTGCCTAGCAGGTGGGTATTCAAGGCAACAACCTTGCAAATTATCTGGCAGACAATGCGGTTACTATGATAGTCTGGCACTGGAGATAACCAATGTCATGAATGTCATGTGAGATGCCGACAGTGGAGATGATTACGACGACAGTTACAATTTGATTAATCAACACAAAACAGGCTTGATCAGCTGGAGCTGTCGGAGGTATTGTCATGATAGTTCTAACTAAACATTGATACAAGCTTCTATATTACATGTTTCATAAACACTGTCCTCATTTCTTTGAAACCAACTCTTTCCCAAATTTCTACCAACTAGTCGGTCTCATAAGATTTGAAGAGAATGGAAAACTACAATATTCTTCCCATCCATCAATGTGAAACGCCTCTCTCTCTCTCTCTCTCCTCTCTCTCTCCCCCTCCCCCCTCCCTCTAAATTCACATTAGATCTTTCTCCAGAGGATAAACACATGCACATCTTCCTAATCAACTTTCCCTAGAATGAAAACAACAGATATTGCATAATCTCTGTTTAATACTTACATTAAATTTGAATCAGCTTGGTATATATTAACATACAAGTATCTCAAACAGTCCACAAAATTTCTATTTGCTGAGTGTGAAATGTTCTCAACAGACAGCAGGAATTAACTTAATCTTCATATATTCACTTTTCTTCACCTATTTGTTCTGTAAGGGCCCATCAAGTCCCCTTCCTTCTTTCTCTCTCTCTCTATGCGTATCTGCACAAAAAAAGGGTGGGGTGGGGGGGGGGGGGGGGGGGTAGGGTGGGGGTGGAGATGCTTACATATCTACAACAGCTCATAAACACTGTGACAGTGACATCTAATAATCTGCAGGTTTGTACCTACCCTGGCTAACTTCAATGCAACCGATCAATTTACTGGCTAGTCCAAACATCCAATCAATTACTTCTGACCTGCAGAATATATCATGTGTATCAGATTACACGTCATCATTTATAGACAAAATTATGACACAAAACTGTAGACAGTTGAATATTACAAAGAAAAAGAATTGTGTAGTGTAATTTGTACAAATTGTTTGTAATAAAAAAAAAGCACAGTGTTATAACATGTCAGTACAAGATTTTACAGTCAACTGTTATACAAGACTAGTTATTTTAATGTTATAGCATAACATAATTTTTATATAGGCAACTGTTATCATATCACACCAGAGGTTATGGTTCATTTCATGTTATGGCATAATACAATTTTATAGTGAAATATTTATTTCTCAGAAACTATAGTTAGTTTCATGTCATACCAGGACAGTGATTTTATAATCAAATGTTACTTAACAAGAAAGTGGAGATATCTGAATATTATGACACAAAAGGAAAACACCTTTAGTGCACTAAGATAAGATAGACAGAAGAAACTTTGATATTTGCATTTTATTATTAATAATGATTTCATAACATAAATTTGTATTCTTCTAGCAGAACTGACCTATGTTGTGAGACATCTGGTTCAAGACTAATTATTTAACCTCTAACATTTCAAGTAAAGAGACCTATTTCAGGCTTCAAGCAATAAATGGTATATGGTGCTAATCCTGAATAATTATAAATCATTCTGGCACTTCATCAGCATCTTTAGCTTCAGCACTGCAAATGTGCTTCGTAAAGCTGGGGTGCCGGGTTTGATCCCAGCTGTGGACAGTTCATCTTGCATTGGTTTCAACAGTGGTACCGACAGCTGACTGTTCAGAAAGCAGTGGCAAACTAGAGAACGCAAAATTTGCCTAGAAAAACCACAACAGCCAAAAAATTCTGGAGTTGGTTCTGTGACATTCTTTAAAGGTCACGCAACTAACATTTTAGGCACTTAACCCTTGTCACCCTCAGAAACAAGAAAACTGACTCTTCCAGTTGGGTCCAATCTTCCATAATTGACTTTTCAAAAGTGACATGTTCCTGACAAACTAAGTTAATGCTACTACTGGCTGTGCTTGCACCTGCACAGAATTTAGCAGGTCAAAAATTAATATATTTACTAAAAATGGCATTTAATGGGAATTTTCTTGTGAAGGAAATGGCTATTTCAAAGCCATTTTATGTCATCATTTCCCCATAAGTGTTAGAATTATGACCAGGTCAAGGTATGAGTCACCCGATACATTTTATTTAGGCCCAGAGTCATGAAATTCAGTTAATTCTTTCATCCCTGTGTACTTATTACTCTTTTTCCCATTGGGAGGGAGGGAGGGTTCAACCAGAATTTCAAAAAAAGACACATTGTGAAATTTCTTTAAAATGCAGTAAATACTTTCTGTTTTGTTTTGTTTTCAAACTTTTTTTAAACTTATTATTACTTAATACCTCTCATGGTATGAAAGAAAGATATATTAAAAGAAGAAAACATCTACATTACCTAAGTGATTAACTTGTAATAATCTGGTTGAAGATCTGTTTACAGAAACAACATTGTACCTTCCAATCTGATCAAACCCTGGCAAATAAGCATTCATCATTTCGATGAGTTCTACAACGTCCAAGCCATCGTCCCCCTGACTAACCAGCTCCACCACACCAACCAGGTATGACAGGACAATGTCGTCAATGTTGCTACAAAATAACACCAGAAAAAAATACAGTTTTATACTATTTAACATAAATGTAACCAACATAAAATAAAACTCACTGTCTAGTAATTTCCAAAAAAGCAACAAAACACAAGCATAAAAGCAAAAAAATACAAGCAATGTTAAAAACAAATGTTTAAAAATTGACCAGCCATTATAAATGTGTTATATATATATAGTTAGACTGCATCGAAATCTGAATATCTGCTTCAGGTAAAATATGAAGGAATGTGAAGCCATGTGTAGCAATAGCTCTTTCAGTACAAACTGTCGTGCAGGAGATGCCTAATGGGGACACAATCACTATCAAATCATGAATGCACCGTTTTCAAAGAGGGTAAATAAACACCTGAAATTCTTATTGTGGAAGGCAAATTTTTCTAAAATGCTTAAGCAAAATGTAAAAATAAAAGTCAGAACATAAGATGTGATGGTCGATACTCAAGCAGAAATGTAAAAAAGAATTTAACTTTCAGGTAAACTCAGGAAACAATGCTGTCTTCTACACCGATGTTTAAGATCAGTACTCATGAAGATGATATATGATTACTCTAAATTATCAAGAAGATCTTTTCAACCAGCAAAGATTTTATTTTCAACTTACCAGCTTCTAAATGTACAGGGCTCACAATACAATGCAAGAAAAACAAAGTTTCATGATCATTAACCTTGCATATAGAGTCCAGCAAATTTTGTATATATGTTTCGTTAAAAGATAAACCTGCATTAAAACTGTGATACTATATTCACATTGACATTAAAGAATGAATACACGTTACCTTCGGCTTCTACAATTATAAGGTTTGTGCATCCAGATACTTATTATTTTGGAGAACTGCTGCAGAGGAATGTTGGCCAAAGTGTTGAATTGCTGCACATGCAAAAAGAGCTACACAAAGTGGTAATTACCTTGGAACGAGAATGTAGGGAATGGGCGGTGGGATGTGCAGACGCAGAGGTTCAACAGATGACAGAGGACAACTCTATCCCAGGAGATGTGATTATAAACACTGATTGGTCAGTGGCCTGGGGCAGAACAAGTTGATGGGGCTTCATCGCAAAAGCTTGGGGGGAGAAATATGAGGGAGGAGAGCTTGGCATATGATATCACATCTAGTATGAGAAGGGAGGCTGAGGTGGTAACTGCGACGTTCCGATGAGTGGACAAATTCTCAGCCACATACGTTGTCATAGTATCGGATTCGCAAAGCATGCTCAGGAAGATGAAGTCAGGTTGTCTTCGTATGGAATCGGTTACATCAATCCATGTGTACCAGGTGGTGAGAGTCACAAGGATATTTTTCCTAGGCTATTCAGGTGTGTTTGGGAATGAGCACCTGAAGGTGTGCTGCAACTGCACAAGGCAGAGGTGATCTCTAACCTGTGGGACAAGGTAACAGGTGAAATGAAAGATACTGAAAACCCGTACCTGGAGACAATGATGCAGCTGGGAGCAGCTCTGGGCGCCACTTAAGACACAGAAAGAAGGCGAGAAAAGTAGTTAACCAGATGACAATGGGCATCAACAGTATGGAAATTTTTCGGTCTGTGGAGGAATGAGATGGAGCTAACATAGGTTTGTCCTGAATGCTGTGATGGCAAATGTTTACCCAGATGAAGAAGCTGTGCATGCCAATTCAGTTTCTTTCTGAATGGCCACCAGCTTCGATGGTTTTCTATGACACTCTTCGTGTAATGTGTCAGTAACAACATCTTTTGATAAAGCATCAGTCTACATAATGCTGGGGTAACTTGATCTGAGACAAAAGAACATTGGAAGATGACATCTGTTGAAGCATATATACATTTTTGGGGAAGACTTGGTATTTACCTTATGCTGTGACACAATATTTCAAATGCCAAAGTAATTAGCAAATTCATCTGATCAAATCATGTGAATGGTTCAGTTAAAGCAATCATCAAACTTAAAAAAATTAACATAACCAGAAACAGCAGACATCTCACCTGACTGTCTCCTCCAAACTGTGCTTTGCTAGAAATGACAACAATTCTTCATGGACTTTTGCTTCCATTTTGGCATATAGTGGTACCTTGCTGTTGCTGTGATCATTCACAACCAGGTTTCTGCAAATTTGTTACACACAAGCTGGAATTAATTTCTTCACATTCTTGTCAACTGATCATCTCTTTAAATGTCTGCATTGTTTTCACAGATCCTTCTGGTTTCTTGGCGAGGATATACTGTGTCTATATTTATTCCATATCCTAGGATTTTTCTCAATTTTTGATGTACTGTTATGGTTTATGTTTTACATACATAAATAACATTTACTGTGACTCTAATTATACTATTATTTTAAATAAAATTATATATAGGTACATGTGTTTTTATATATTGTTAATATTCCCACCTGGGTGAAGTGATTATCTATACAGATGGTTCTGTGTTAGGAGACAAGAAGAAGTGAATGCCTGGGTGTTCACATCAAAAGTGAATAGATGATGTTTAGTGCAACAAAACAACAGGGCAAATGATACTATAACATCTAGTTTGAGAATGGAAATGAAGACAATCAGTGAACCTTTCCACTGGCCTGAGAAGCACCTGAAACACATGTCATGAATGTCAACGACTCAAAAAACATCTTCAGAAAGGTGGAGACAGACACATTTTGTGCAGTGCAGAGTGACACACATCTTTGTAAATCCAAAGCAGTTAGCATCTGCTTAATATTTATTCCAGGTCATGCTGGTGTGTTGGGAAATTAACAGGGAGACAAGTTTGATGGTTCTGCACTCTTGGTGGTAAACTGATGCACGACCTGGTAGACGTGACTTTTACTTTGGGGGCAAGTAAACAATATGCAACACTGAAACTACCTCAGCTCAGGAGAAAGAGTTTATCTTGTTATATATGATGCCATGTCTCCTCAATTACCATTAAATGAATGGGCAAGGAAGCTAAAATGATTATAAGTTGCATAAGTTTATTGTTGCTGACACCTTTCCATCGTTCCAGAAGACAATGTTATATTGTGTTATGAGAAGGCATGGACTCAACAGTCCTTGGTAAGCTTCTCCACAACACAAAGCCTGGGCAGTATTGTAGAGACTATATGTTGCCCATGCATTATGATCCCTCTCTTAGCCTGCCTTGTTTACTATAAAGGAAAGGTAACACTAGTGAGTTTAGAACAAATCACACATTCATTTATTAGAGATTTAAGATTACTATGAACCTGAGTATATCTAAGGTTTTAAACAGTCTCAGAGTGTAACATTTTTTTACAATTAATTAAGCTGGTGTAGATTAAAAGAGCTAGTTGCTCCTATGCCGGAGCTGCAGCAAATGCTTGGCTGGGATTGTGTCCATTCTGCCATGTTATCAGATAAATCATAGCACATGCCTATTTCTACAAGCCGGAGCTTGGGTAAGATAGCGAGATTACTTATTGTGGAAGGTAATCAGCTCTGGCAGAGGATAAGAAAATGGACCAATGGCAGATAAGACCGAATGAGTGAAATGTGGTGAGCAAGGATCTATGATATAAATACTGTATTCTGTCAGAACAACCAACTTCAGCCAACTTCAGCCAACTTCAGCCAACTTCAGCCAACTTCAGCCAACTTCAGCCAACTGCAGCCAACTTCAGCCAACTGCAGCCAACTTCAGCCAACTTCAGCCAACTTCAGCCAACTTCAGCGGGGCAAATCTTGGATGGGTCATTTGGAGGACACCATTAAGGAGATCTGTTGCTTTCCAGATATTATACTTGGACACAAATAGGTGTATTTGCCGACTGCTTCAAACATCAGCATTACTGCCTATATCACCACAACAGAAGCTGCAGAGATCAGATCCCTGGCATAGTGGACTCATTAGGTACTGCCAGAGCATTCACTGTGAGTGCAAAGGGAAACACCATTAAAGAGATGAGTGGGACCTTTGCTGTTACAAACCAGCAGCCTCACAATGGAGACCATGGCTGCAACAAGGACATTATCATGGCTGGCTACACAAGCATTCACACATGCCTGCACACTGACTGATTCAATGAATATGCTCTAGAAAATCCAGGCCGGCTTCATCAGACCAGAATTAGTTCTCTCACTAAATGTATCATGAATAACTTGCCTGTGAAGCTACTGAGTAGGAGATTGGAGCAACTATGGATATGTCCAGTGCTGTGATGATATTCCTCCCTAATGCTTAATCTGGGCTTTCAATAAGAAGTATATGGCTTAGTCACCTCCCACTGTTTGCAGTAGAAAAATTGAGACATGTTTGTTTGGAGCATGTGCATGTACTCTCATAAAGGAATAATTAGTATGTCAGTGAAGTGGAGGCAAAGGCCTGTAAACTGATAGATTATGTATGTCCATATTTCCTCATGATGCATTACTGCTGATGTTATTTTTCAGTCTTGTAGTTTGAGATCAGGGTAGATATGACTGGTTAAGCACATGCTTGAACTTCACTACTGAACAATTAAATCTCATTGCTATTTTGATTACTATGTTTACTATGTGGGTTCCAGGGCTCTATTATAGGGAAAACAAGAATTGACCCACTGCCTACCCAGAAGCATATTGTAAGAGTCGACTAACTGGGAGCTTCCTTCAAAGTCGTAGTGCATCTGCCTGAGATGCAAGGAACCAACAGTCTGCACACAAATTAGTCAGATCTGTCAAACGGATGCACATGCAACTCTCATGTCCTGGAACAGGGCTGCAGTCCAGAAGTGGACAAACAACCAGAACTTTCTACTAGAGTTTACAGCTGGTGAACGCAAAGAAGAAGACTATGAACTGTCCTGGTCAATTACATTCTGGATGTAAGTATCAGATTTAGACAAATTTACTGCCTTGAATATTTTGCTGTAACTCTGTTTATTTTTACTCTAATAACTTGTAAATCTTGAGGAATTAAAAAGTCTTCTGACAGTTTCAGGTTCAATCTTCTACAGGACAACAACAGGTTAAAAAAAAAAGAAGACAATGAAAAACACACCAATGTATCTGCTGCAATCAGGGTTCGTTCAAAGTCAATATATAAAATGTCTATGAACTGGTTGCCCTATTATTTAACAAGCAAATAAACATATACTGATTGGCACCATAGTAAGGGGCAGAAAGACAGAAGAACACTAGACAATAAAACAAACACATGCAGCAACTGAAAACTGGCTGAAGGCAAGGGAAAAAGACAGATACAGACACCACACATCTAGTGGCTGAAGGCAAGGAAAAAGATAGACACCACACATCCAGTGGCTGAGGGCAAAGATAAAGATAGATACAGACACCACACTAGTGGCAGAAGGCAAAGAAAAAGACAGATACAGACACCGCAGTTCACCACACATCTATGATCTAGTGGCTGAGGGCAAAGAAAAAGACAGATACAGACACCACACATCTATGATCTAGTTAGTTAGTTAGTTAGTTAGTTGGGTTATCATCATTGCACTCCGGACATGTCCATAGGTGCTCAGATCCTCCCCTCAGTATGAACCCCAACGTCTGATGGCTAATAGTACCAGTTCTATGTTGATTAACAAGTCTTCTGACGTGTCCGGTGTGCGTCTCGTTTTTTGCTGTGCCGATCTTAATTCCCAAGTCTGCCATACTGGCGAGTGATGTGCATTCACTACCACCAAAGTCCTCTAACCTTCCCATTTCTCTGAGGGCATTGATAATATCAGCATGATCCATAGGCCGACCGTCGGTAGTGATAGCGGATCCAGCCAACCTGTCAGCTCTTTCATTTCCATCAACGCCTGCGTGTCCCGGAACAAAAATAAAGGTGACTCCACGCACAGTGGACTTCTGAATTGATTCAAGCCATTGTCTTCGCACTGAACCTGCCTGAACCCTCCGGATCATACTCATTGAATCACTGAGTATACATATGCGGGTGTATTTTTGTGTTTCAAGCCAGGCAAACACTTGCGTCACTGCCATCACCTCCATCGTCATGCTGCTGGTTGTCATGGAGAAGGCGCCGTTGGCTTCTTTGACTGTTCTGCCCGCTGAGCGTGCTGTAAATGCCCATGCGCTTCTTCTTTGGCGTATAACGGATCCGTCTGTATAGATTAGTGCATCTGCTTCGTCTGAATTTTCACCGATGAGAGCGTTGACCTCTGCATTAACAGCAACAGGATTGTCTTCTCTACATCGCCTGTTGAGTGTGACAATACAGGAAAATGTACAAATAAATGCCTGAGGCACAGGTATCCATTCTGCACCAAGTATGATGTCGGTTAGGCTGCATATTTGCCTAATAACATCTTCTGCCCGACCTAGCCACGATTTTCCCCTCTTCAGTCTGTCGCCCTTTTCACTAAAAAGTGCTTGATGCAGTGGGTGTTTCTTGTCAGCACATATTTTGAGGTATGCCCGAGCCCTCCACATCCTGATCCTTTGGTTATGATCTAGTGGCTGAGGGCAAAGAAAAAGACATATACAGACACTGCAGTTCACCACGCATCTATGATCTAGTGAATGAGGGCAAAGAAAGAGATAGATACAGACACAACACATCTAGTGGCAGAAGGCAAAGAAAAAGACAGTTACAGACACCACAGTTCACCACACATCTATGATCTAGTGGCTGAAGACTAGAAAGATGAGCTACTATAAGTTTTCAAGGGGAGTGAGAAAGAAGCCAAGCAACAAACTATTGCAAGGAAAGTGGCAAGACCTGTCACTTAAAATGTTCTAGAGACTGCCTATATTTAAGTGCTATATAGCATTCACTGATATTCAGAATTGACTACAGTGTATACCTGTGTTTCTGTTGTTCTTGTCAGAGGTCTGATTTGAAAAGTGACCGATCACTTCAAACTTTGGTAGTTTTCTTCAGTCTACACTGTGTCCTGTGAGTTTAAGCCGACGGGTAAATTTCTCAGAAATCTCTCAGATACTATTAATATCAATATCAGATACAAACTGAAATTTTACTGACTCCTCCTAAATAAATAAGTAAATATAAATAATCGTTTTAACATTCAGTTTGTTGACTGCATGCAGCAGTCAAATTCAATACTTTTTGCAGATTATAACGCAGTTT